AACTTGAAATGCTCATTGTATCTCATTTTCTCCAAACCCAAGAAAGTTGTTTAAGGATCCCCTTCAGTAAGGGAAAGGTTAAGAATCGGCATGCCTTTGTATACTGGAGAGCAGTATACAAAGGAGTTAGGGCTGCTACCTCCTTGAGATGCAACTCTTTTGTGCCCCTCAGCCTTGGCATAAGACCTGTTTCCGCTGTGCCATCTGTGGGAAGAGTCTGGAGTCTACGAATGTCACTGACAAAGATGGAGAGCTTTATTGCAAAGGTGAGTAGCTCTGTCTTCCTTGAGATTTTTTTTGGGCCAGGAAGGGCCCTTGGGAAGTTGTCTCTGTGCTTGGAGGCCTATATTGTCCAGGAGTGGAGTTAGTCAGTCTGAGTGAAGTTTGGGTTCTCAGGATAGGGTACAAAACTGCCTAAGAGAATTAAAGAGAGCACTTGGTTTTCTCTATCGAAAACCTGGGAGGGGACCATTGGCTTGTAGATAAGATGCTCAGTGGTTCAGTGCAGCTGATGCCTGGGTGAGAAATAATGTCCTACCTCAGGCCTTGGAACAGGTTTCAGAGTAAACAAATAGCAGCACCAGGACCCTTGTGCAAACCCCAACATCCTTACTCCATTTGAGTACAGATAGTGGTATTTGGGTTTATCAAAATATATCTTCTTTCCTCCTGACATTTGTTTGTGATGTTGCCAATCACTTAGTAATCACAGAGACTTTACTGGTTTTCTTCCTATTTGGTGCCTCTGCCCTTAGTTGCCTCCATAATCCCTCCTATGTATAGATAGTAAGGCTCAGCTCTTTACTAATGTTAAGGAAAAAAATGCACTAGGGCCAGGGTAATGTGTTTTTAACCCCAGAGAATCTCCAAATATATACAATGGTATAGAGCAGAAGTAACGGAAAGGGGATTTCAGGGGCATCAATAATATAAGTATGGAGGTTCGGTATCAAGAGGCTATGGCAGAGGATCTCGTTAGATCCTCCTTAGCTGTATAGAGACACCCTGTCTCAAAAAACTAGTTTGCCAAATCATTTCCTATGATGAAACAGGGTAGAAACTAACTCACCATATGACAGAAAGTAGAAAGACGACATAGGGGGTCCTCAGCATTCATAACCATAAATCCTAAAATCTTGCAACAGCCAGCAGGAAGATCAACATGTAAACGTTGTATTTCAAAGTGAACAATGTAGGGGCTGGGAAGGTGGCTTGGTGGTAGAGTGCTTTTCTTGAATTCATGAGGCCCTGGGTTCGATTCCTCAGCACCACATAAGCAGAAAAAGCTGGAAGTGGTGCTATGGCTTAAGTGGTAGAGTGCTGGCCTTGAGCTGAAGAGCTGAGGGAGAGTGCCCAGCCCTAGAGTTCAGGCCCATGACTGACAAAAAAAAAAAAAAAAAGTCAACAATACAGAATACATGGTTCCTCCAGGGCTTGACAGATATGAGTGTGGGAAGAGGCACTCCAGAAACAAGAAGCAGTGATCTCTAAACAGGGATAGCATAGTATATTTTAGGAAATGCAAGAAGTCTGTGTGTCCGGAGTGCAGGGAGGAAGCCAGGCAGCAGAAGGAAAGCAGTGGTGGGGTCTGGGAAGACGACCTGGAACCAGATTATACAGTCTTGAATGAGAAAAATGTCTGGGGAAATGGTAAAGTGTAAAAAAGTGTAAAGGGTAACACTGTCCAAAAAGAAATGTACTCATTACCTGACTTATGTAATTATAATAATAATATATTTTAAAAGTATAAACAAAATTTTATTAGCAGACCTAAGATAAGTGTTTATTTAAGTTAATTTATGCACATATTTATCAAAAGGTTGCCTTTAATATGTAAAAGGATGTTGTGTAGGCAGAAGGCCAGAAATTATGGTACTAATCAATGAATTCTTTTTCCCATTCTCATTCAGTTTGCTACGCCAAAAATTTTGGCCCCACAGGCATTGGATTTGGAGGCCTTACACATCAAGTAGAAAAGAAAGAGTGAAAAGGTGACCCCTTTCTCACAACCTTCACCAGCCAAATACACTGCCAAGTAATCCGGCAGACGAGAGCTTTCCCCAAACAGCCTCATTTGTAGCTGAACAGCCTTTCTCTTCAGAAGCGATCATAGGCTTTACAAAGTGAGAAGAAATCTTTGGAAGAAATTATTTAAAATTTTACCTACAACAGATGTTTTATAATTTAAGATCCTTGGGGTGGGAGAGGCAGTAAATAAATATTTCAATGGTACTTTGTATGGCTCTGAATTTTTTTTTTTGCAATAGGAAATTAACACACACACACACACACACACACATTTAAAAAAAAAAGCTAGGCAGCGGTGGCTCATGCCTACAATCCTAGTTACTCAGGAGGCTGAGATCTGAGGATCATGGTTCAAAGCCAGCCAGGGCAGGAAAATCCATGAGACTCTTATCTCAAATAAACCACTCGAAAACCGAAGTGGCACTGTGGCTCAATGGTAGAGTGCTATCCTCGAGCTGAAGAGCTCAGGGACAGCGCCCAGGCACAAACACACACACACACACACACACACACACACACACACCCAAAGGCACAAACACACAAACACACACACACACACACACACACACACACACCCAAACTAGCTTCAGAGTATGAATTTGGATGTTGACTGGAGAAGGAAGGAATGAAAAGGAAAAAGCACCAGAAAAAGGAAGAGTTTTCTGATAATTTTGTCAGATGTTATATTGTTACTGTTAGTAGAGGAAAAAATTGGAGGTTTGGGAAGAAATAGAGAACATGATTGCAAGTTCTAAAAGAAAAATCAAAACTAATAAAATTTCTTAAAAGTGATCCTTTTGTCCTATCATGGGCTTTGCAATATTACCTATGTTGTAAAAACTTAGCAACAATAAACATAGCATTTGGTTCTATATTATAAATGATGTGAGGATTTTTGTTTTTATTCCGGAACAATTTCTTGAGTCCTAGCAATTTTTTTTAAAACTTCTCCATCAAATTGCCATCTTTACAAATGAAACCCAGCCAATTAGAGATGTCTTTCTCTGCCTCTTCAGCAAGACTCAGCAGCTTGAATATTTGCATTGTCTTGGATTGCCATCATTTCCCTCATATCTGTGCAATTCTGACTTATTTAGAGTAATTAAAAACAAATAAAGATCTATTGATTAAAAACTATGAAATAGGGGCTGAGAAGGTGGCTCAGTGGTAGAGGGCTTGCCTTGCCTGCATGAGGCTCTGGGTTCGATTCCTCAGCACCACATAAGCAGAAAATGCCAGAAGTGGCACGTGGCTCAAGTGGTAGAGCACTAGCCTTGAGCTGAAGAGCTGAAGGACAGCGCCCAGGCCCCGACTGACCAAAAACAAAACAAAAACAAAAAACTATGAAATACTAGGCTAAACTATGGGTTTTCCTATGCTTCAAGTCCCCCCAAAAGTTACCTTTAAAATGCAATTATTCAATAGTGTTTATATGCTCTCTTGGAGTATGTAGGGTTTTAAAGCAATATACTTCCTTGGCCTGGGCTGACGGGTAAGACACAGACATGCCTATAGGACAATATAACCTCTTCTGCTCCATTTCAGATACTAGCATCACCACCTATGTATCAAGAAACTAAAGTTAAAACCAGTCATCATTAGCTTTGCCTTCTCCCCATTTTTTTCTTGCCTTGCTGTTCAAGTCTCCTCAATTCTGACCCCCCAAAGACATCCCATCCATTCTCAGTCTCTGGTGTGTGTATATTTGTTTGCTAGGACTGATGTAACAAAATACCACAGACGAGGTAACTTAAACAAATTTTCTCACAGTTCTGGAAGCTAGAAGTCCATGATCAAGGTGTCAGTGAATTGGTTTCTTTTGAAGCTTCTCGCCTTGGCTTCTAGAAGGCATCACTCTCTATATTGTCAGACGGTCTTCCTTCTGAGTTTGTGTTCTAAACTCTTTTAATAAGGATACTTATCAGTCTGGATTAAGACCCAACCATATAACCTCCTTTCATATTCATTAACTCTTTAAAGGCCTGCCTCCAAATACATTCTAAGATACTGGAAATTAAAGTTTCACTTATAAATTTTGGGGAGGCACAGTTCAGTGCATAACAGATCATCATACAAGGACTTTCACAAGTGGCCTCAGTCTAATACCTTCAATTCAGCTTTAGACAATGTGTTCTACATACATTCCAGCTGTACTCAAGACTTGAAGCTTTCTTAATACAACTAGTGATTTTGGCCCTCTAGGCCTTGGTTAATACTGTTCCTTCTGCCTGGACCTCCTAAAAGATGGAATCGCTCCATGTTTATCCCCTACACAACTCCTTAGCCTGGTAAACTTCTATTAATCAATCTCAGATCAAATGCCATCCCTTTAGCAAAGTAGAATGAAATCTATGTCTGCCCCATTAGCACAGCCTTTTTTCACTGACTTGAATTTCAATTTCCCTCCATGTTAAAACATGACATATTTGCATACTGAGTGTGCAATAAACAGTGGGCACTTAATGGAAATTGTTTAGTGAATGAGAATGCTAGTTAATAAGAGTAAACAAATTCTGCTAGAATTTAAAAGAAGACATTATCCTTTCAGTAAAGTAAAAAATTAGTAAAACAAAAAAGCAAAACAAAGGAAGAAACTCATTGTAGTCTAGTAATTTTGGAAGTCTCCTGCTTTCTGGGTATACTGTTCTCAGCCTCCCCCTACTGGTGACTGACATGATTAACTGAGTTTGACAAATGGAGTTCCTGAAACTGAATTAGTTTATGTCATTTAAACATATTATTTCAACTGAAGATTCTAAGTATGTCAGGTGTTAAGAACAGCCCCAATTATTAAAAAAACACCCTTCCTTATTAAGTGAGAAACCAAACCAGGTATGTCTACTTAAACATTTTGTTCATATTTATAAGTACAATAAACAAAAAACTTATGAAAAAACACAGGTTTAAGAAATACAAATACTTTGAAGCATCCTATAGAGTATCTGAAAATACTTTTATCCATAATCAGTGAATATTATCTTTAAAAAAGTAATTTATGCTTTGGGGAAAAATATAAATTTCTTTTTTAGTGATGTCTACTAAAATTGTCCAGGAACAGTCCATCCTTGTAGATCTGAAAGAAGGCAAGCACTTACTGAGAACTATTTTACCACAGGCTTCAAAACCACTTGTATTTTCCTTTGGTTTTAGGCAAGTTCTAAATTTCATTTCACTTTCAGACCACAAGGTATCAACACACACAAAACCAAAATGAGAGTGAGAGTTTTTAGTTGTTTTTCTTCATACGGAGCGAAGAACCTTCTCTTTGGCTGGGTGAAAGACCATGGTGTATTGTGATGTCCAATCTACTACGCAGGGCTTCACTAAGCCAAAACAGCCACACTGAAAGAAATCTGCAAGGTTCTGTGTGACTCCAAGGCTGCCAAGAAAAGAACATGTGTAACTACATTTACTATGCAACTCTTATCAGATAATTCATTCAAAATAAAATTTCTTTGAGAATGTATAATATAATATCCTGTGGAGATCCTGCAGAAATACAGAAGTAACTAGACTGGAACTAGGCTTATGCTGCATAAGCCTAGAACATAACCCTAGTTCCTTGAACCTAGTTCAATTTTTGAACCTGAGTCACTGTTTTGAGTTTCACTGAATTCTGTTCAGCAACTCAATTGGGCTTTTTCTACTTCCTTTTTTGTTTCTTCTTCATGGTACAGGTCACCAGTCTTCTCAGTGTCCATCCCAATCCTCAATACACTCAAAACACATGCGTGCATAAGGATGACTGCATACTATCTACTTGGTTGTGTTCTGCAGGAGAAGGCTAGTGCTGCTGTCATTAAAGACTTCCTGGAAATGGCATCCTGAGAAGAGAGCTGCCTCTATGGAATTGATGGAGTAGCAATGGGAGAAAACAGATTAGGAATGAAAAGGTCTGTGTCAAGACCTACTGAATGACCAAAAGTAACTTAAAGGAGGGAAAGTAAATACAATTTTTGATTGGGACAGAATTTTGGAAGAATCTCTAAAGAATTTAGACTTTTAGTTTCTTAAGATTATGTTGCAAATGGGTACCAGCTTTCAAGTCTGTCCCTTGCTTTAAACTCTTCTTCAGGGCTTGGCATGCCCTTCTTCCCAACTCTGTCAAGACTTGCACCACATCTCAAAGCTCAGCTTAAAATTATATCTCTATCATACAGTTTCCATGCTTTAGGAAAACAAATATTTATTCTTCCAGCTAAATAACTGAGAATAGGATTTGATTTTTTCTCTGTCAGACTAAAATGAGCATCATAAGCTTTCCATTACTCTCTACTCCCATTACTGTGACCAGCTCTTCCCAATTAAGTCAACTTCTTCCCTCTCAAAATCCACACATTATTTATATCCTACTCTCCAGTTTTCTTATCTAGCAAGTTAACAGTTTCATCTCAGATCAAGAGTAGGCTTTAAAATAGACTTCTCATGAGATACGCAGTGAGTGTCTAAATCCCTCAAGGGCTCTGGGTCACCTCTGCAGCACTCCCAGCTTCCAAGACCCTGATGTAGGTGGCAGCAAGATAAATTTCAAAGCCTAATCTTTCATGTCACAAGATGACAGCCTTCCTACAAAACACTCTCATTTTCAACTGAGGACAGGTTTTATACATCCAATGCTTTAAGAAGAACATATCAAATATAAAAAACTCTCCGTGATATAGGCAAGCACATTAAACATCAGGCTAAAAGAATTACTGGGATAGAAAGCCAGGTTGAAAACACTGGCAAAGCACACAATCTAACACTTTCTACAGACAGCCTGTGGCAGGCTTTCTCAGACCATGCTCAATTACCTCACACTGATTCCTTGCCAGCAACACAAACTTGTGACCATGTGGCTTGACTGAAGAGATTCCCCATCTTGGCAAAACTTCAAAGTCACTATTTGTGTTGAGTCCTAGACTAAATCCCTTACTACCGTGGGGCTTATGACTTTACCGCTCAAAACCCGACATTGGTTTCCAAGAAAGAGAGGTTCAATGGCATCAGATATCAGGATAGAGAACTGCAGTACACCCATGGGTGGTAGCACTAGGTAAGGAAATTATTTGCCAAAGTAAAACTCACTCACTTGTATGGTGTTTTCCTGAGGGATAATGACTGTTTCATATGCCTGCTCTGCTTTATCAGGCTGATTCTCTCATGAGAGGTCAGGCCCAGAAAAGCAATCTGAAAAAGATTATTGGAAGATATATGCAAAGTACATCAAGGCTCCATCACTCTTAGGGGTACACCAAAGGATTACAAACATTTAGTCTCTCCTCCAAAGGCTGTATGATAGCCTTCTATCTAACCAAGAATCATGGTAGGTGGTAGCAAAGATTGCGTAGCCTTAAAGTGTATTCTCATATATAAATATAGTTTCTAGATTCTTTCATTGATTTTTATCACCTTCAAGAAAGCACTGTGCACTAGCTTAAAGAGTTACAAGTAACTTTCATTAATACAAACTGTGGCTTATAGTCATGAGTAGATTTTTCAACACCTTAGTGCACAAGTTTTGGGTGAAGAAAACAACACAAGATCAGTATCAGTGCAACTATCTCATTTGTGTCTTCTAAGAATCTCTTTGAAAAAATGCCAAAAAAGTTAATACACTGAAGCAATGAATTTCTATATATATGAGTTTAAGAAAAAGTAAGAATCAAAGTGGCTTAAAAACTCCCAAACTATTAAAAAAAAACCCACAAGTTTCAGATGTTTCTCATTTACTTCTCAAAACAGGTCAAATGTTAATTTCCTTATCTGTAAAAAGGGAGCTTATTACACCACAGTCATAATAATGTTTCAAGGACCTAAAGTAGATAGCTAAAATATCAAAAACAGCAGCTCAGAAAAGTGAAGTGACTGGTTGTAGTTTTAAGAGTAGCAGAGTTGGGGCTAGCATAGTTCAGTGTGAGGATACAGTTCCTGTTCCTAACCAGCAGTCTGTATGCTTATTTTTACTTGCTGAAGTCAAACAATATCTTATCGAGTATTTTTAGATAATGTTACATTTTCAAAGAACAAAATTGTTCTGCTCATTAAGAATATGAGTCTGTTCTGAAAATTATCTGAAAATTTTGGGCCATATTACATATTTTTATTTTCTTTTGGGTCCATTATTTTTTAGAAAGTATAAATCTATAACCTTTTTATAAATATCAAGGATATCATAATCTATGTACTTGTTCTAAGAGTCAGAAAAGAGAATTAGAATTTATGCTTCAGATATTAACACATTACATCTACTTGTAATTCTAACTATGGCCTATGCCCATAAGCAAGGCACTCAACATCTCTTAGACTTATTCATATCCACATAGGCAGGCCTGGCATATACCTCAAGTATTTATGAAAAAATAGTGTCTGGGCAAATGCAAAGCATATATAATTTAGTATTAAGATAATTAACACTAGTAACTATTCATGCTAATATTCATTCTTACTACCTGAGCTGATGATGTTAGAAGGATTAAGATGAACACTCAAGAGGCTGGGAATAGTGGTCCATGCCTGTGAATCCCAGTTATGTGAAGGATGGAGACAATATTATTTGGCCAGTCAGACCAAACAACAACAACAATAACAAAACAGCATCTCAAATAACATACTGGGCATAGTAGAGCAGGCCTATAAACCCAGCTGGGAAATGTAGGTAGGAGGATTATGGCCTAAAGTTAGCAAAGGTAAAAAGTACAAGATTTTATCTTAAAAGTAATTAAAGTTGAAACAGGTGGACTCTGAGTTCAAACTCCAGTACTGTAAAAAAAAAAAACTTTCAATATTATCTTTTCCTTGTCAACACTTCTCTTTTCTCTCTTTTTCTTCCCTCTGACTCCCCCCTTTCTTTCTATTATCATTACTTTGGAATTGGTTACCTTCCATAAAAGAGGAATACTTTTGCTTTTCTGAGTAATGCTTTAATTATGTCAGGTATTGCAGTAACTGGCTCATACCGATCACTGCTGCCAGTTTTATGTTGTAAGGTCAAAGCAACAGTGAGAATTAGATTAGGCAAATAGAAGAACAGCAGCAGGGAGGGACAGAAGCTTTGTAGAAAGCTGAAGGTGGTCCTGGACCTTAAACTTCCTAGTGGCTTTGCTTTCTCCAAAAATATATGTCCACTGGTTAGGGGACTAGCTTTCATTTCTTCCCATTACCATTTACCTAGGTAATGCATTGAGCAACAGAGTAGGAAAAATAGCTCACATTTGTTATGATGCTTTATATACTTTGCATCATTCTTTCACATATCATATAATTTAATTCTGTGATTTAAGAGTCTTTGAATGAGACTGTCAGAGGAACTAAGTTTCCAATTTTGATTTAGCCACTCATTTTGAGCAACTTTCTCAATCTCTGTGTACCATAATATTAAGAGGCCAAATTAGGTCAGTCCTAGCTAGGTTCAGCTCCAGAAAATAATTTACTATTCAGCCCTTTTAACCATCTTTTGTTGTTGTTGTTGTTGTTGGTCATAGGGCTTGAACTCTGGGCCTGGGCACTGTCCAGCTGTCTTCAGCTCAAGGCAAACACTCTACAACTTGAGCCACAGCGCCACTTTTGGTTTTCTGATGGTTAATTGAAGATACAAGTCTCATGGACTTTCCTGCCTGGGCTGGCTTTGAACCATGATCCTCAGATCTCAGCCTCCTGAGTAGCTAGGATTACAGGCATGAGCCACCGGCACCTGGCTCAGTCATCTTTTGAGAGTAGACAGGAATGATCTTCATTTTAGAAATAAGGAATCTGAAATTCAAGACTGATCAAATGTCATACCTAGACTCAGAGGAAGCAAGAAAAGTAGGATGAGAATCTAAGTCTTCTAACTTTAAAGTCAAGTCTTTTGCTTTATTCCAGGTTATTAGAAATTATATTCAGAGGCATTATGAGAAATGCATACCTGAAAGAGTTGATTTATTAATAAAAATGTTGACCATGAGAAATGGAAAGTGGCTAGCATGAAGATATATAAAACCCAAGGAGAGCAGGCCACAATCTGATTGAGGTAGGTCCAGAGTCCATCTTCCCTGAAAGTTGTAGCACAATGATTTGACCAATCTGTGAATTTAAAAAAAAAAAAAAGGAAACCATGATTTAAAAAAGTGGCAAAAAACCAAACCCAAAACAACAACAACAACCCCCCCCACTAAACCCAGTGTTCAATCTCCAAGAAGATAAAACCACTGCAATTCTACTCACAGAGAAAAGAAGATAACCATGATATGATGGCATAGATCAGTGTTTGGCTATAGAGATCAGGGGAGTAGCTCAGTGACAGAGAGCAAGAAAAGAATATAGAGCAAAATCTAAATAGTCACAGTTAATTTCTTCCTTAGGGCATTTGTCTGCCAATTAAGAGAGAACATCACTATGGCCTTTTTGATACTGACCTTATATCCATGAAGCTAAGAGCAACAGTAAGGAAAAAACAGGTAAGTAGCCACAGAAAAAAAGGAAAGGGATGGTTGAAGTTACAACTTACAACATCTTGACTAAATATGAAGAGTGAATGAATAATTTCTGAAATGAGAATCATGTAGATTTATTCCTTGTAATTTCATAAAGCCCTCTGATAATCTGATAAGCAGTTTGAGACATTTCTCCAAAGAGGAGCTGGGCAGGAAGAAAATGAATCCTTCACTTTGCTTTCAATTGTCTGATCATTTTAGTCCTATACATCTTTTTTTTTTTTGAGTCTCATTTGATTCCTGGCCAACTCTCATGAATATGGGCCAGTAGCATTCTAAGGGCAATCACCATAGAATAAGAATGAAGGAAATAAGGAAAATTCTACTCTAAAACTTCTCATTATGAGAGAAAGATACACCCTATACAACTGATATCTGCCCCCTCTTGTAAACACACACACACACACACACTTCTATCAAGAGGTGGAGTAAACAGCTGCAGAATGGGAACAATATCTACTTTCTTTCAGCTTTTGGATTTTTTCTGTTCCCTTTTGGGAAATTTTCTGATAGTATAAAATGACCTACACCTACACTTAAGTTCTCATAGTGAAAAACTGATTTCAGATTTAGTATCAAAGATACAAAAATACAGCTACAAGTGGCTATCCACATTATCTTATGCAATATAATAATTTAATTTATACTAATGTGTTCTTACCAAGGAGTCAAAGGCTTATGAGAAAGACATTGTTTCAAGCCAATAATTTTCATCTTTAAATAGCTCTGACAGTTATACAGTTCTTGATACTGATCTAATTCCTTTGTCACCTTAACCTGTAGACTGCTGACATTATGGTCTTTTTACTGTCCACCCAGAAAACATACCTCACAAAAGATGAAATGGATGAAGGCTATGCAGAGGCAGAAGTAACTGCTATTGGATCACAGGAAGAAGAGGCCATATAGCAGGACTCTACTGTAATATCGTTAATACAAATAAAGGAGCTGAATGGCAGTGAGGCTTTACTAGAGAAATGGTGCACAAAGTACAAGTTTATATCTCCTGTGCTAAGGGCATAGTTCAAGTGGTAGGCCGACCGCCTGTATAGCAGACATAAGGCTCTGAGTTTGAACTCCAGAACCATCAAAACACAAAAGTCCATGTTTCCTGTCTGTGGAATAATAGTGACATAATTTCAGTATAAATATTATTAGAATACAAAACAAAGTTTGTGTAGCTAGAGTTGTAAGCTGGTTCCTCAAAAATAAATAAAATAAATAGTATAAAAACAAAGCCAGAGAAAAGAGATAAGGTGAGTAGGGGCATAGGGGGTGTGTAATAAAAACTTGAGTGTGATGGAAAATTGCTTGTCTCCTTATCACTATAGTCTTATCCTTGATTCAGACATGAAATGAAAGTGACTATTTTTAGTGAGGAAAGACAAGAGTGGTGTAAAATTTGGCTTCTCTTCCTTAGGAACAAGTCCAAGGGACAAGCTAGTCCATGGGCCAACTTAGAAAGCTTTTCTAAGAATATGCTTTATCATCAAACCTTAAAAAGGCAGTCTCTGGGAAGTTATGTCAAAAGTCTTATTTATTCAATATCTAAAATGAGACATAATCTTAATCTTTTGACTATATTAGGCCTAGTAGAGAATGGGATGGTTATATTTAGTTACTGGGATGGTTACATTTAGTTAAAAGCACTCTAACAGAAGTAGGGGGTCAGGTGGGAAATGGTCAGGCAAGGTAATTGAAGCTCATATCATATCTATATCAAGACAAAAAAGCAATCCATCTCACACAGATACTAAGAACTTCCAAACATGAAAGACTAAAACAAGCAAAATCTGTACACTGGATATTTTTTAGAAGGGAATTAATAGGTTAGGGAATGAGCATAGAAGGAACTCTATCAAAAATGAAATTTAAACAAGCACTATAGATTTTTTTCCTTAGGTAACTACACTGAAAATTGTAAGATTTAACAGCTAACCAAGCTAGGTTCAGTGGCTCTGTAATTCAGCTATTTAAGAAATCAAGAGGATCACCATCTGATGCCAGCCCAGGCAAACGGTTGACAAGACCCTAACTTAGACAGGTGTACGTATACTCTTGTATTCCCATGTATGTGGGAGGCATAGGTAGGAAAATCACATTCCCAAGCTAGCATAGGCAAAAAAGACTATCTCTTGTCCATAGTTGCTCCAAGTTATTTTCTTTTCTCAGGGCTGAAGAATAAATGAACTAAAGTTTCTAAGATTTTATTCCTAATCTTCAACTGCTCATTTTGCCATCAATTCTCAGTTTTACTCTATACTTACCAAATGACATGTGCTTTCAGTTTTGTTTCTTAAATCACCAAATCCCTTTCCTCCACTATTTCTTTTTCTTTATTTTATTTTATTTACTTAATACCTTCTTCTTTGAACTTGATCGTCTAGATTTTCCCCTTCACTGGGAGCAAACCTACTAACGCCTTAAGTGAACTTCTGTTTTTGACCACTTCTCACATTTATCAAGGTTCTCTTCCCAAGTACTAAGAACTAACCTCTTTCAGCATTTTTTGAAGCTTCCCAGTATTAAGAGAGTCTTAAAGGTCTTGTGTTTGTATTAGAGGTATAGTTTAGTTATCTAGCTAGAATGAGACAGGTGTGGGTATATAAGACTGTAAGAAAAAATTATACTTACAGATGAAGGTTCCATAGATAATCCAGTCACATACCAGGGAAAGGAAAAATAAGAAAAATATGTAATAGTGATGGTTGCCAAAACCTAAATCAAAGAGAAACAAAAGCATATTTACTTTTTTTTTTTTTTTTGTCAGTTGTCAGGCTTGAACTCTGGGCCTGGGCGCTGTCCCTCAGCTCTTCAGTTCAGGGCTAGTGCTCTACCACTTGAGCCAAAGTACCACTTCTGGTTTTCTGGTGGTTACTTGGAGATTAGAGTCTCATGGACTTTCCTGCCCAGGCTGGCTTTGAACCACAATCCTCAGATCTCAGCCTTCTGTGTAACTTGGATAACAAGCATGAGCCACCAACACCCGGCTCATATTTACTTTTTCTTGTAGTGTTTTCCCACATATCTTAGTAACCACTGTCTTGTCAAAAGCCCTCATCAAAGTAAAACAGAAATAAAGCAATTGCTTTTGAATACTACTAAACCAAAACCAAGTAGTTTTGATATGAAACAATCAACTGTCCATGTTAACTGCTATTTAATCCCTACTTACCTAAAAGAAGACATTTTGAGTAGAAAAAAAGTTAAGTGAGCAAACACAGCTCTAGCTTGGTCTACTCTGTGCTTCAGAAAGGAGAGTACATAGGAATTTGAGTAATCAAAACCTTCTATAGAACATATTTATAGAAGTACAACTGAAGAACCCCAAGGACTGACCTGATAGGTAATCATCAAAAGATAAATCCAAAGAGAAGCAATGCATAATACATGTTACAAGAAACTGGATATGGCTAATAGGTATAATCACAGCCTACAAAAAAATCTGTGGAAGGAAAGAAAAGAATAGAGTGCCATGTAACCAAATCCTCGCTTGTGTTGCCTTCTTGATTTTGGAGATGAAATCACATCAATGCTCTTCAGATATCATATCATGCTCCTATTTTTCCTAAAGTAGCAATACCTAGCAGCAGGAGTAATACCCACTAGAATTAGGAAAGCTGGGCTTATGAATAGTTGTCATTTAGTTTCTCTGATCCAGAGTTCATATTTATAACAACAAGAGGAGATAATACCTGTTATAAGTCGATGACAACATACTATTTCTTGAGCCTGTGTGTGATCAAGTGGTAGAGCACTAGTATAAGACTCAGAGCTCAAACCTCAATATCAGCAAAACACCACAAAACATATATATACATACATGTATACTTATACATACACATACATGTATACATACAAGCTCATTACAACATCTTCTTAGTGCCATTCAATGAGTGGATGAGGTCCAGGAAGCTTGAGACTTCAGAAGTTTTCTAGCTAACTTTCTCAAGGAAGAGAACACCAAAACACACCCAACAAACCACTTGAGCTAAGGTAGCCTCTTGTTCCTCAAAACTGTAAAAGCCGGCCCTCTACGGAAGACTTACAATCATAGCTCCTTAGAAATTCCTCATAAGAAACCCCTGGCTTTTACTGTGGATAGTTCATTGGAAACTCAGGGCTAGAGGCTGGGAAAAGGAGTATTCCCAAGGTGAAAGGCTGTCCAATGACTGCTGCCACCTCTAATTCTAGCTCCTCGATAAATCTTAAAGAAGGCAAGCGCAGAGGATAAACACAAATAATATAAGGAAGTTATAACATATGGAAAGTTCATGACATTTGGAGTGAAAGACTTATACTATTAAAGTGACCTTCTGGTGATCAAATTGCATGTCATGTATGAAAGAGTTCTACAAACTCTAAAATAGTATAAAATTGACAGTAACTGTCATGACTAACCTCAATAGTTTTTCAAGTATTACATTGTAAAGATGATTTTCACAAAAAAGCTACAAAATGGGAATCTTCAATGTCCATTTTTTCCAGGAATTACACACATAACCAAATATATACCTAAGTTCATAAGAGCAATTGGAAAATGAGGTATCTCACCTACACACCGTCCAGTCCAAAAGCAGTGTTGATCATATCGAGCCACACAAGAGTTGCACACATGGCAATGGAGTGACCTTAATGGTTTCCTTATCTAAGTGGGCAATTAAGAGAGGGCTAAGCAAAAGTGTCTCAATCTATTAGCAAATCATGAGCAAAATTTTAATCCTAAGTGATCATAAAAACACCATTACAAACAATCCTAAACGATCAATTCACATAGAAGATATGGAAGATATGATTAATATTTGCTTCCTTATGTCTACTCGAACTAAACTACCACTAAGGGGGATTTAATTTCACAGCACAAGGCTAAGAGGAACTAAGGTGGTACCATAAAGCAGATTAAGCACTGAACTGAAAAAAAAAACAAACCAGAAAGACACCTGAGTTCCATTTCTGGCCTTTCTAATAACTTTCCAATAATGTACTATTTCTTCTAGGCTTTGATTCCTCAAATGCAAAATAAAAGGTTTCATTAAATAGTTTCTAGGATATTATAAGCCTCTGATTTGAAGTTAGAATATATGCTTTATAGAGAAAAGCAAACAAAACACACTTCACAAAGATAATTAACCACAGACAAGAGTACCAACATTCTTCCTTATGTTCAAGGAAAAAATTATTCCTGACAATAGTACAAAAATAGAATTGGGTAGAAACAAAAATATATAAATATGCCATGAAGATCTGGCAATTGCTTTTAACAGCAATATGACCAAGAATTTTCTTTTACTATGGAAAACAAATTTATGGGAAAAAGACTCACAAGACATGATGTACAAAATGTTCTGAAATCCAGGGAGCCAGTTTCTGCAAGGGTAACAATATTCTGAAAGACACAAAATTTGACCTTATGACTTCTATTTTATTGGAGAACATCTTATGCATGGTTATATATCATTCTCACATCTCTTGCTCATAAGTGAAGTAGCTAGAAAAGCAATTTGGAACTCTTGTCACCAAATCATTCTGTGCTTGAAATACTATCACTTTTCCAGGCTGCCTTTTCAGCCAGTAGTTATTAAATACAACAAACTGTGCCACCTCCTTTATCACTTTCTTGTCATGAATTACAAACTTCCCCCAGTTATAATCTGCTAGAGAAAAATAAGTATACATTTATATAAACATCATTAAGAAGGAACAACATATCAAATATAAATCAAAACCAATGGCTATATGCACTAAGGACTGTGTCTTTGAGGACTGGCTTTAGATTACAAAAGATAATATTCTACCTAAACTTGTAAGCATTCATAAGCTTGTGGAAAGCATATCCTGTCATCTGACAACTTCACAGTTGAACAAAAGGTGTATCTCCTCAGTTATTAAGAGAAGTAATTCTCTTGGTCCATGCCTAGTTAACTTCCATGTAGTAAGTGAGGAATTTAGGCTAGCTGATACTTATCTAAATGTTATAAAAAAAGAAAAGGATTTTAAAAAGCTGTCATACATAAATGGCAAAAGTTTAAGTATAAAGAAATTGTATTTTTGCTGATTTAATCCCTGTGCATTTATTTATGTTATATCCATTAGGTTGCAAGAATTAGAGATACAACTGGCAAAAAACAACATGGCCATAACCTTATAAAGTTTATATATCCTCTGATTAAAAAGCAAAATATGAACAAACAAAATACAAAGGAAGCTCACCACTTTCCTTTCTTCTTCAGAAGTCTTAGTAAAGCCTGGATCAGTTGCCCAAGTTTTGTAGAAAAAGTAGAGAAAAGCTAAAATGCTGAAAATGAAAACAAAATAGAAAGGGCTACCTGCTGTATGTTCAAGACTAGTTAAGGAATATGTCAACCTTCTACTAGTAAGAGCAATTGTGATATAAGCAAACTTCATCATTGATGCATAAGAACTTATCTTCTTTACATTGTGCCCCCAACTTCCCTAAGTACACATCCCTATCTCCAAATGTGGCCCTCTCCTAACTTCTAATCCTACAGGAATTTGCTGTTACTTGGTTAATAATTAATGCTTCCTCATTATGAGACTGTATTAAATATTGATAAGAAGTCACAATTTCTGAAGTTGGAAAAGCATTCAAGACTCAAATAAATTAACCATTTAATGACACAATTGTGGTTCTCCTGCAAGTACCCAGAAAAAATATTCTCTGATCATTTTAATAAAATTTTCAAAGAAAACAAATGACTTGGGTCAGAAATTCAAACAAAAAAAAATCGAGGGGGCGCAGTTCTACTAGAGATGGAACTCAGTGCCTCAAGCTTGCTATGCAGGTACTATGCTATTTAAGCCGTGACTCAAGCCCCTTTTTGCATTGTTTACTTTTGAGCAGGGTCTTGCTTTGACCAGGCCAGCAATCCTTCTTCTCCTGCATGACAAGCATGTCACTGTTCCCAGCCATTGTGCATTTCCTTGTAGTTGAGACAATAAGCCCAGCCATTGGTTGAGAGAGCGTCTCAAAAACTTTTATGCCCAGATGATTTTGATCTCTGACTTTCAGGGGGGCTAGGATTAGACTTAAGCCACTATACCTGGCTTCCAACTTACAATACTTCTCTATATAGCAGATGAATGCTTGCAAGAATTTCTTAGTGGAATGTTTAAATATCCTGATAACTGTTAAAAAAAAAAAAAAACATTCTTGCCAGGTGCCAATGGCTCACGCCTGTAATCCTAGCTACTCACGAGGCTAAGATCTGAGGATTGTGGTTCAAAGCCAGCCCAGGCAGGAAAGTCCATGAGACTCTTATCTCCAATTAACCACCAGCAAACCAGAAATAGCATTGTGGATTAAATGGTAGAGCACTAGCCTTGAGCTAAAGAGCTGAGGGACAGTGCCTAGGCCCTGAGTTTAAGCCCACGACCGACAAAAAAAAAAAAAAAAAAAGAAAGAAAAAAAACCCTTCTTCACATAAAATGATTATAAATCACATACTATTTGAAAAAGAAAACCATTATAGATAAAATAGTTTGAGGATAAACATTATTTGCTTTGAAATGTTTATTAAAGTGCTACAATTTCTTTGTGTAAAAGGTAAAATTTTGCTATGGAGAAAAATATGTACTAATAAATCAGTAAGGTAGGAGAAAACCAATTTTCTTTGCTCAATTTAAATAATTATCAACACAGTAACTGTATGTATCTTACAATGTGTTGCCAAGCTAACTTATGTCAAACCTCAAAGTGGTCCTAAAAGACTCTTAAACCCTTATTGCTCAAAGAGTGGTCCATACATCAGCAGAAAAAGCTGAACTTCAGGCCTCACAGCAGACCTACAGAATCAAGACTCTGGATTTTCATAAGATCCCCAGAGGCTTCATTCCTACACTGAAGCATAAACAGTGCCATTTTAACCAGAGACCAGCATAACCACATTTGGTTCAGATAGGCAGGAACAAATCTTGTAGGTTGTTTATCATGGTTTATCAGCAGCTGGGCCTAGCTTTAAGAGAGAGATAAGAACCAGAGAGTTTGGGTGAAGTTAAATTTTAACAAAGTTCACTTGGAATGAACTAAGAAGAATACTACTAAACAAAATAAAGGGGGACATCTTTTAAAAAATCCCGTTGTTTTATTTTTCCCCCATTAAGTCTTAAGCAATATATGGCACATTCTCAAAAACTTATCTGGTTGGGGAAGGAATGGGGAACATTGACTGGAATACTTTGCATACGTGTGTAAAAATGTCACAGTAAAATCTCCTTTGTGTGGTTAATGTACATTAAGACACTCACACACATACATGTTTGATTGAGTCACATGGTGATACTACAAAGTGAACTTAATTGAATTTGAAACTCCTGCTCTAAATAACTTAACAAGATTAATGCCAGGAAATCACTGGATTCCTCACTCCAAGTAAAGTGAATTCCCTTGTCCCTTCACATAAATCCAAACATATACCTTGCTTTCTTGCCCTTGTTCATGTGGCTGCCTGACTATAAACACTCTCAACTTCCTCCGATGACAAAATTTTAGCATGTCCAAGTCCCAATTTTCCTCAAGACTTACTTCTTCCTCTCCTGTTGATCTTTTTGGAGCCCTGGAGAGGATATTTTCCCTTCTGTAAGCCTAAGAATGCTTTTTTCTATGGTCTTTAGACTGTAGTTATTTATATGTGTGTCAGCATCTCCTGTAAGCTGGTGATTCTTCTGCAGTTAAAGTCTCTCTCTATAGATCTAAAATTGGACATTCTACAATGTGATGGATTGATTTTCATTTACTGAATCCTCTAGATCTCAATATAGCTGCCTTCAGATTTGCTCTACATAATAAATTTAATCCTACATTTGTTCAACAGTTTTTTAAGTGATAAGATGGTAAGAAACTCAAACACTTGGAAGTAGGAAGCAATAATTATACCTCAAGAATAATAGCAAGGGCTGGGAAGGTGGCTCAGTGGTGGAGCACTTGCCTTGTATGCCTGAGGCCCTGGGTTCGATTCCTCAGCACCACATAAGCAAAAAGAAAAAAGCCGGAAGTGGCGCTGTGGCTCAAGTGGTAG